AATTATACTTTCTCTATTCAAACGGGATTTGTTGTACGTATTTATTTTAAAATGACGTGTACATATGTACATATATATACATTTTGAAAAATATGGTTAAATGTTAATTCATTAAAAGACTTAGCAGGCTACAGAATATTACAAGATTTGGCCCTTAGCAGACGAGGATAATGCACGTTTTACAATGTGCCAAGAATTTTCCCGCTACAACTCAAAGAGAAGAAATGCAGTGGCGGATCTAGAGGGAGTTTAGTTCTTTCCTCTAAGAGAGAGCAATTTTAGGATACCAACATATTTGTTGCATTTTTATTAAAGTAAACTACACTGCATATCTAGTTGTAGATTACATTAAATTTTAGTTTTAAACTTTTAATGTAAATGCCATACAGGCCCACGGTTCAAAAGTTGTTGACGCAGAGTACCAGGGGTTAATACTGAACATGCATTATATAATTAAGAAAATCATGTAATGTCGAGCACAAGCTTTTAATATCACGAGGATATATATTAAAAGATAGATGTAAGATATTTTAAAAACAGATCACCATAGTCTTTAGTTGCTTCATAAAAGGAACATTAATTGGTTTGCGGCCGATTTTTGACGCTTGCGTCAATATATGTTTCTTGTCTTAATTTTTAGAAAAACACAGGAACGTGTGGACAAGACCCCCCCCCCCCTTGATATTGAACCCCAAGGCTTAATTCTTTGTTATGTGTAGCCTTACAATACGAAAAAATCGCTGGCGTAAAACCCCCAGAATAATCCCTCAACCAAAAAAACAAAACAAAACAAAAAAAAAAACCCACTATTTATTACCCCACTTTACAAGAAAGAATGCTGTTTACGGAGAAAATGTGGGATTATGACGTGATGCAGAGTCAGTCCGATAGCATGGACGAAGACAGAAATACATTGTATATGTAGAGACAGTGTGAATCGACATTTAAAGTTAAAACAAAATAAATGCATTTAATTAATACCAGTGGGGGTACAACGTAAACAGACTGGAGTGACATATCCTTCTCTTATAATGTATAGTGGGAATTTGGGGGGGGGGGGGTGTTGAGCGATTATTCTGGGGATTTTACAATTTTTTGTTATTGTACACATGATGAATAAGTTTAATAAATATAACTTGTGAAGAAAATGTCCAATAAGCCCTAGGGTTGAATATCGAGGCGGGAGGGGGGAGGGGGAGAGGTGGTACCGTCCATAAGTACCTGCGGTTTTCCTTACAGAGGAAATGCACAGAGTTTAAGTTTAGAAGACAATTCAAAAATATATATACTCCTGATATGTGAAATCTATTTAATATTTAAGAATCTATAATATGAATAAAAATATTTTTTGCTGATCAAAATTCATTAATTATTTAAATTTCCTTCTAATATATATAACACTTTTTCTTGTATTGTAATTTAATGAAATGACCCATTTGATATAATTATATTGAACTATTTCTTGATAGTAAAAACATAATAAAGGGAAGTAATCAAATGTTGAACCCGCTTTTGATTGGTTCGTTTGGATCTCTTGAATCTCGAAACTCGAATTTTGAATCTCGAATTTCGAATTTTGAATCTCGAATTTCGAATCTCGTATTTGGAAACTCGAATCTCGAATGAGCCTTCTGGGCTTTCGTAGTGCTGGCACGAAAAAGATTCCTCCCTGCTCAAAAGCCATAAATGCCGAGTATAGGACAAAATTTGCAGTTTTCCATCGACAAGTGGTGGCGTCTCCATATAAATAAATTCTCGAGAGGGACATTAAACAATATACACCCAATCAATCTTTCCAACGGTGCAAGATTTTTTCTGCTATTTCCAGTATTAACGAAGTTTATGTTTTTTAAAACACAAAAATCGGCATAGAAATGCGTATATGCAATGTAAGGGGTTTTAAAAGTAGCGACTCTAGAGTAGACGCTCTAACCACTTCGCCACCCAGGCGACTCCTTACACTTTAGGATCTCTAGATACTTGAAAATATATAGGCTCTTAAAGCTCTCCATATGCATTGGTACTAGTAAGTTTTATATAAACTTTACTTGGGATGGAAACCTTTAAATATAATCGGTAAACAGATGCGGATACCAACAGTTTAGCTGAAGTCCATCACCTCGACTTTGTTGAGATCAAAATATCCAACAAACTTTCAGAGGAGCAAAAAATAAGAAAACACAGTACTGAAAAAGATAGTGGCGTTTTATTAACTTTCAAAGCAAGCACATATGAACATTTCAAAGTGTGGTGGAATAATAGCATATATATGAGATTATTAAAATCTTCAGTACTGGAGTTTGTCTCATGAACTTACATATATAGCCAATACTATAATTATGCATATACCAACACCAGAAAATTGTGGGTAGAATCTTTAAACTTGTTTATACCAGCAAATAACTTTTAAAGACAAGAAAACGCTAAGGATAAGTAAATTGTATAAAATTTTCCAGTGTCAGCTTTTCCACATTTTCAATATATAAACTTCTTTCTAAGATAACTTGGCATATATATTTATTGTACAACTAACTAGCTTAATTAGTGTACATAATTATATGCCCATACGCAAATATATGAAATGCAAACATTTTTAACTTTCCACAAAACACATGGGGAATAAGCTTAAGAGAAAATAGATCCATCAAAATAAAAAAGTACAAAAAAATCACTCAACTAATGAGTTTTACTTTTTAAACATAATGGCTAACATCACCGGATACACATGTACTTACAGTAAAACCTCTACAGAATACTACAATCAGATTACATTATTTTTTGACCCATTTTACTGAAATCATGTGCTTTTTTGTTCACAAATATGTTGAGCAAGAAACAACTGTAAATGGAAAATATCAATATATAACAAAATATTTATTTTTAGTGTGAAGTCCACTTACTACTGGTGATATAAAAACCCATTTCATTGACATATGGTTGAAAATTGCTGTTCACAGATACAAAAAGCTGAAGTATTTTCCTTTATTTCTCTAGTAGAATTTCCTGATTTTTTTATAAAATGAAATTTGACTTCATATAAAATGATTTCCTAATTCTTATAAAAACAAAGAGAAAACACAAAACTAAACAAAGCTTTTCCACAAACTTGCTCATAAGCATTGTCAACAGCATACACCTTTAAAATGCTACAACATCTGCATATTAATTTTTCTTCATTAATCCTTTTTTTTCTTAAATACAGCATTTTAAGTACTGGTAAATTTATGACATTTTACTAAATCTCATAGCTAAAAAGATTACACAGATATATTGATGAAATAAAATATAATCAATTTCAGAAAATACCTCTATTCAATATTACAAATGAAAAAAGTCTTAGCAGAAGGAAAATTAACAAAGAGTGGGTTTTCAATTACACTCTGTTATGAAAGATAGGAAAAAAGGTATAAATTAGCTAGTAATTTACTTTTACTGGAAAACTATTGGCATTCGTTATAATGTTAAACTGACAATCAACCAAGTTGAACAATCAAGTTATATATAAAAAAATAAGAAAACTTGTCTCAAACTGATTTAACATTTATACAAGATATTATCATATACCTCTTTTCTAATGTTCTGTTGCATAATAACATTCTTTTTATCAATTAAATGCATGTGCTAAGTCGCAATCAAACAATTATTTTTACAATCTCATGCAGAGCAGGCCCCAAAATATTTTTATAAAAAATTACAGAGGCATTTCTTTTTCTTTAATGACTGGATATACAGCATAGAATTACTTTGTCTGAATACTCGATGGAATAAGTTGCTAGTCTCAGGAAAAGCAGGGTTTGGTTTGCCTGGGGCTAGTAACTCAACACCTCAAGATTGCCATGAGCAAAAGAAACCACAAGGTACCCCAGGAAATGAGTCAAGTCATAGGGCCAAAAAATTCCTTCATCACTTTACAACTTTTATTCTGAAGTTCAAAGAAGCAAACCTTTTAACATTTTTTGAATAATTACTGAAAGTACCCCAAGTATTTCATAAATTTTCGCAAAAGCTTTACCATTATCATCTGGGATTTAGAAATGTTGACACTTACAAAGCCTGAATTAACAGGAGGTCATGGAATATTCCAATTAAATAAGTGAATTTTTAACAAAATAGCAAACTCTTTCACAATGGGTGTTACTGCAGCCCTATTAAGCTCTCTGTAGATTTAAAAGGAAGTCCATGTGGCAAACTGCTGTGGGTGTGAGCAGACTTTGCTAGATGGCAATCCTTATAATATCATGGAATGAGACAGTGAAATAAATGAAATATTTCACATTTTAAGAGAATATGACAACCTTTTTGTGAAAATGTGTATAGAAATCATCTGAGGAGAATAACTACCATTTAATATGTGTTGTTTTACGTGCAGCAGAGACTGGAAATATATGGAATATTTCACTTGTTCTCTATTTGACAAAGCAGATTAATAGGCAACTCCATTCACAGAAGAGAGTAAAATAAAATGTTTGAGAATTCCGCTTCCCACAAAAAGAAAATATTTAAATGAAAAAAAATACTGCATTAAAGGAATTATTGGATTGGATGAAGTTTACACCTATCAAGTTGAACATTGTATTATTAATTCTTTTATGGGAATGAAACTTGATTTTTCCACATACAATGTAACTCACTGTTTGAAGACTATTGTGTCTCAGTGGTTATATATTTTTGAAATATATTTAGACCCATCAGTTCTACGGTATTTCTCTTTGCATAAATACTTGGTATGGGTAAAAAAAAACCTATTATGTGGTGTTTAAAATTTACACAAAAATAATGCAAGAATGTGGATTCTTGGAAGAATATATCTTTTTTTTTTTAATTCAAAGAACAATAATAATCTGGCCACCTCTTCTGATATTATAAATCAACTTTCTTTCATAAAAGAAATTATTGTACTTCATTTAACAAAACAGAAATCCTTTCTTAATTTGGGGAAAAAATTATTTCCTCAAAAAAAGAGTTTTCAAAATCACCAAGATACAAAAACAATGTATCTACTCTGTACACAATAAAAGGCATTTATTCAATGCTCCTGCAACAAATCTCAAAACTTTGCTTATTGGCAAGTTTCAAAAGAAAAATGCATCATACAATGTGTCAAGGTTTACGTATTTTAAAACCCTCAAAAATACATTGTTAATGACATTATATGTATATCCAAGTAATTACAAAATTTGAATATAAACTTTAACAGTTTAACATAACATGGTTTAATAAAGGAAATATATGTGTTAACTCATAAAAAAAATATGTGTACATATGATACCAATGGAAACCTTACATGTGACTTGTTTTTCATTTGTTACCAGTAACATTTTTAACATTTCATCAAAAACTTTAACACTGGTTCAGAAAGTCATGAACAAAATGTATATTTACATTATTTACATGTAAGCTGAAACGAGCTAATTGGTAGATTCCTTTTCTCAGCAACAGAAAAGTTTAAAATGTTTTTTTTTCCTCAGTTGTATGTTAAACAATACAAAAAAGTGTATTTGACAAGAAACCATCTCAATAAAAACTTCTCAGGACTCCTCTGTCCAAGAAATCACAATGAAGACACCTTTAAAAGACAAACTTTTAAAGAAAATTGTGTCAAATATGTACTTTGACACATATATATATATTTATGTACATGGTATAATGTTCCATTATAAGTTTATCTAGGCCTTCTATGGGCCATATTCTTAATAATCTTGTAAAGATTCAAATAGACAAACAAGTTCAGTGTAATTCTTATGTTAATTTGAAGATAACTATCTTCATATTCCTTTTTTTTTTTTGTTTGTTTGAAAAGACAAGAGTTAAGTTTTTATAACCATCAGTAGAACAAACAAGAATTCTCTACCCTTCCTCTTTACTTCTTGGGTGCGAGTTTCTTTAGTTGGGCCTGCAGGGCAGCAATCTGTTGTTCAATGGCTGCCGCCTGATCATCTGTCAATATTAATTTATAAAATTAATTATAAATTCTAATAGAAAACAAAAGCAATATGTTTAAAGCAAGTCAACTATTCTATAAAACAATACAACAAACATGATTAAAGCTAGTCAAATTCTGTCAATCAAACATGATGTCAAAACTCTGTATTAAACAAGTTATGCTTTGTCATTTTTAATTAGTTTCCCTTTACTTTCATATGATTCTGACAATTTAAACAACCTTCTTCGCCAAAATTCAATCTTTTCTGAACACCATTAATCATTTCCAAGTGACCAAACTCAGACTGAGAGTTGTTCATCTTAAACATGTAATGAATCACATGAATGCAGGGATTGAATACCTTCACTGGATTTGGGCAGTGCAACACCACAGGAAATCAAGTATTCAGCTACATCAATGTCATCGCTGGAATCGTCAGGTCCAGGCCGAATTAGCCAGAGAACAAAAGTGTCCCCGCTCCGATCCTTCAGACGAGCATACAAGGCCTGGTCTACAAACTGATTGAGTTTCTCACTGGCACTGTTAGACCACAAGTCTTCTGGGGCTGAAACACCTGTTATGAATACGTACAACAAGTACAACCAGTGTAAAGCCTAATTCATACACAAGAACAAATACATTTGTGCAACAATTTTTTCTTCTATTCAAAACTGATTTTTACCTACAAAATTTCTAAAATTTATTTCAGCCACTTTGAAAGCTTTAGATTTCTTAATTTACTGATTCTGACCATTAAAAAAATTGCTTCTTAAAAAATTTTGTTTCTAATGATCATGAAAAAAAAATTATCAGTGTTCAATTTACCATGCAGTGAGCATTTAAAAGCTAGTATGGGAATCTCCATGAAGTCTGGTTTCATTGGCCGTATCTGGTTGGCGGGCAGTATGGCTCTGTTTCCAAAGTCCACGTACTGCAGGCTGTAGGTTCCATTAGGAAACGTCTCAGTTATAACACTCCTATACCATCCACCGTCTGCTGAAATAAGAAATAAGAATCTTTTATAAATACAATGCTCCTACCCCCTTCCACGGATGAATGTCTTTTTCAAAGATTATTTATTACAGGACAAACAGTAAAACTCGTTTGGTATGAACACGGATATTGCAAATTCACCTATGTATAGCAGTTTTCTTATCCCCAGCTATATAAATTTAACAAATTCTTTATATGGTTATAACAAATTATGGATAATTTATAGCGAAGTAATTTCAGGGGTCCCAGCAACTTCTTTATAACGGTTTTGCTGTATATTTAATCTTCTATTGTGGTGCACCTTCAGTCAAGAGCAAAAAAATTTTAGTGCACATTGCAATTAAAATCTCTTGAAGAATTCTTTTTTTAAAAAACACATTTTACAGTTAATGACAAAGGGAAGTAGGATTTATTTAATATTTACCTTCACAGAGACTGTAGAATGCACAACACATATCCCCCACGATGTACTTATGGTTTGGATCCTGAGGCTCTGTCTCACAATACATCAAAATCTTCTGCATCATATCAACCAGTTTACTCACTGCTGAAAATCAAAAAATGTGACATTAAATCAAGAAATGCACATGGATGCAAGAAAATCCCATACTGTTCTTCACATTTTAAACTTCTAAAGAAACACAACTCATTCTTACAGCATCATTTGATGTACTGTATGTAAAAAATAAAGTATGTTAAAAATTAAGGTAAACCAACCCTCTTCATCAGCCAGCTGACAGTAGAACTCTTCAGGAGAATCTATGGAGGTGATGATCACCTGGAATTCCTCACTCTGAGGTTCTGCCTTGGACATGTCACTCAGGCGAATGTTCATGCTCGTCCCTGCCCCCGGGGAACCCCCTTTATTTCCATCCCCTGAGGGGCCTACCAATGCCGCTATACCAGGGGAATTCCCTGCTGCTGTAGCACCTTTGGAAGCCTTAGGTGACCCAGCTGAGAGTTCAGAGAGGGCTACTGACTGACCCACATGCTCATTGACATTTTCACCTTTGTCATTAAAGAGGATAATTTCGTGGAGCTCGCCTTCGACCCCCACGACCTGTAGCTGCAGGAGACTGTTAGTGACAAGGTTAATAAACTGGTGCAATGCCTGCTCCGATTCTTTCTGGCCAATATTGGCAAGCTTACAATGGATTGTAAAATTTGGCACAGATAAGAGGGAGGGGTCAATTTGTCTAATGTCCACCGGGGTGTTGAACTCCACATTCCCATAATCAATAAAGTACACTTTGAAGGCGGATTCACCTAAAACCTCCAAAACTTTGGCTCTGTACCATTTTCCATCTGCTGAGAATTTGGCTAGAACGATTTCATCCTTTACTGGCTGGTAGGGTGAGTTAGATTTCTCACAGAAACTGTTCACTTTCTCTTCAAGGACAGGTAACTCTTCCCGGTAAGGTTGACCCACTAATAACAAGTAGAAAGAGTGAAGATTGTCCAATTCCTGATATATACAAGGTTCTTTGGTGCTGCTAACTGGCAAGATACGAGGAACAAAGGGGGTGGCGCCAGAGGTAGACACCTTTTTTAGCTGCTCTATAACATCCTCCTGATCAGTTGTGATATGCACTTCATGCACATCTCTCTCCTTCTTCACAGCCTTGATGTAACTCAGGGTATTTCTTACAGCAGCATCAAATTTTTCTAGAACCAATGGAGAGCTTGTGTCCTCAATGCTTGTCAATTTACAGTGAATGGCCTGTTTGGGCAAGTACAGAAAAGAGTCGTCGGCTTTGCGGATGTGATCCTTCTGCACGGTGTGAACGTTTCCATAGTCGACAAACTTGACATTATAAGAGGAGTCCTCAATCTTTTGAACTTCAGCTCTTAACCACTGACCAGTCTCAGTGAACTGGCAGCACACCTGCTCTCCTACAGCAGGAAGATGAGGCTCAGCAATACCTCCACAGTAAGTGTCCATCTTCTGAAGTAAACTGTTGAACTTTTCACAGCTCTCCTCTGTGTAGTAATGAGCATAGAAGGAGTGGACACTCTCAATGTGGGTGACAAGGAAAGGGAGTTTTCCTCCATCCACTGGCATGTCAAATTCTGGAATTCTAGGTTTGACTTGAGGAGCTACCACTGCTGCCTTAGCGCTTGGAGAATCGCCTACCAAGACATCATTTATACAGGTGCCCTCTTGAGTGTACAATTTTACATCATACAGTTTATTGTTTTCAGACAAGGCTTGTAAATATAGAAGTTTGGACACTGTAAATTCAGCAAACTTTGATTTGAGGTCATCTGACAGAGGTCTCGGGGTTACTAATCTGCAGTGAATGGCCAGGCATGGAAGCTGAACATATTCCGATTTTAATTTCCGGATTTCATTGGATGTGACTTGTTCTTTGTTTCCATAGTCTACAAATAACACAACATAGGAATCCTGTTCCGTCGTCTTCTCAACCACTCGTGCCCTGTACCATTTACTGTCTAAAGAGAACAAAGCACACACATCCTCTCCAACTTCAGGTTGATAGGGAGTTGGTTCTTTACTCAAATTCTGCAGTTCAGTCATCAAGTTTTCAAGCGCCTGAACTTCATTGATTTGCAAATAAAATGAATCAAAGCTATGAAATTCCGTCATTGTACATTCCACCTGGCTTCCATCCAAGGGAACAGGTGCCTCCTGGAACTGGAGCTTGGTCGGTAATTCTGTCTCTTTTGCTTTAGGACTAGTTACAACTGGGCTTGCTTGCGAGGAAAACATGCTTACAATAGTTTCATTTACATTACTACCATCCTCCAGTAAAACATCTACTTCTAATGGGTCCTTGTTACTTGAGCCCTTAAGTTTAATCTGCACCGTACAGTTGTACAAGGTTCCAAATGTCTGAAGCACTTCTTGAGTTTCCATGGATTTGGTCACCAATGCTAATGTGCAGTGAATACTCTGGTGTGGATACTTGATTAAGGCGGGATGAAATCTCCTCACAGCATTTTTGGTCACTGTTTCCACATTGCCAAAATCTGTATATAATAAAACGACCTCGTCACCAGATATTCCCAACACTTTGGCCCTGTACCAGCGCTCATCAACAGAGAACTTCCCAAACACCATTTCTCCAGCCTTCGGTGTATAGGGCACAGAATCCCTGGAGCAGATCTCGGCGATTTCACTCATGATTTTTTCAACGTCATTTTTGGCAGACTGCACATAAAACGAAGAGAGAGACGTGATGAACATGATGACACAGGTAACAGGGGTCCCATCTTCAGGTAAGTATGAATTCTTTATATCACCTGCCATTACGGGTGCAGCTACCAGAGCCTGAGCTAAGAACCTTGAGATTGCCACAGACACAAGTTCCTCGTGGTCTGTCAAGAAATCCACAACCGCTTTATCCCTTCTCCTGCCTTTGTAAATCATAGTGAGCACTTTGGGATCATTTTTGTGTGTAAGTTCGTTAAATAACTCGTTAGCTTTGGCCGCTCCTTCTGGGTCTATTCCTACCAGTTCACAGCAAATACAGAAAGGTGGCTGCTCCTGGCAGAGACTGGTGGCCTGCCTGAGATCTCTGAAGGGAACCAGTTCAGTGTTTCCGAAATCGATGAAGTAAATCTTTGCCTTCTGGTCAGACAGGCTGAGGACTTCGGCTCGGTACCAATTAGAGTCATACAGACCATACACTAGCTCCCCAACTCCTTTAGGACTGCAAGTAAAATAAAACTCTCGACTGTTACAATGTTATCATTTAATTACGTCTAATTTTTTTAAAACTGCTAACACCCCTCTCCCCTTCCACCCATGCCCTTTTCTTAGAGTTTTATACTTAAACAAAAGGGATTTAAAATTCCTCTACAAATCCCCAGTCTGGACTCATAGTACAATATAAGTAAATACAGCATACTCACTGATATTGTTCTGTAGGTATAGCCATACATTCTTCATTGACTTTTTTGCAGTATGGAGTGATTTTTTCGCTGAGGTCTTCCAATTTTTGGACACAGAAGTCTAGCGGGCTGTCCCTCTCAGCTATTAGCACATCATACTTCTGACCACTGATCCAATTCTCCATTTTGTCAATTTCTTTGGCATCAATACTTATGCTGTAGAAGTAAGACACAAGATCAGCCATCAATTCCAACATACATCCAAAATTCCTCATTTCAGCAAAAACTGTGATAAAATCTCCTTTAGTTCACATAAACTATTATACATATCCAAATGGTAGTTTGATATGCATTTTACAGTAGAAATAACATGTATGTCTTTGTAATGTTTTGAATGCTAAGCTACATCTTTCTATACATACAACTGTGGTCCTACAGCCTGGGTTTTCTGGCTTTTAATCGATGCCAAGCCCGAGGTTACGAGGGTCTCACTGACGTCTTGTCCTGTGAATAGAATCAATATTTAAATGTACCTCTCTGAAAAACTTCCTTAACAAACGCTTTTCAGACTCCAAAAATTTCATTGACTTTTCATACACTTATCACAACCAATTCTATTTTTTATGTTACAAATTGAAAACCAAAACAAGATTGCACAGACAGATGGACGGACAAAATGATTTCTATATACCTCAAAAAATTTAAATCTTGGAGGGCATAATAAAGAAACATATAATCAGCTTATGTTAAAATATATGTATAATGATAATTAACGTAGAAAAAAAAATACTTTTTCTATCATCATACTACAAAGGAAGAGGTCGGACAAAAAGTTGATAACAACACAGGTTCATTAAAGACACAGCATATATGCAGATCAAGTTCTTGAGTGGGTTCACAAGTCCTTGATACATGTATCTAAAGATCAACAACCCTAGCTAGTAGCTACTATAATCTTAAAGCAGCCTAATTATGACTCAAACCTATAACTTACCATTAATATCCAGCACTTTAATTAAGGTGTTATCTCCCTCTTTTCCAGCCTATATCTTACCATTAGCATCCAGCACTTTAATTAAGGTGGTATCTCCCTCTTTTCCAGTACAGGTCACCTTGTACATCCTCCCGCACTCCATGGTTAGAGGTAACAGTTGTTTAATGGTGTCCACTGCCTGCTGGCTCCAGAACTTGGAGTCCATATGAGGAACCACTCCATCCAACGCACACACTATTGCCTGAAGTAGATGTTTCTTTATCTTGAAATCAAGTTTAATACAAAACTTTGTAGATCTATGACAATGTTATGTTCACAGAACTTCAGATTTCAGCTTTTTACAATGTTACCTCATCAAATTGTAAGTATGCATTTGTTTTTCACTTTGCCGATTTTGCCTATAAAATGCTCATTAAAGATCATGCCAATTTACAATTACAGCACGAGTTAAATATGACATTATGCTTACCTGTCCCGGCAGTGAACACCACTGTGGTTGTAGATTCCTCAGTTTGTTGTAGGGGATTGTCTCTGTGTTGCCATAGTCTATGTAGCTCACAGTGACCTGGTGGTCAGATTCGTGGGCGTCCACTCGACAGAAATTATAAACTGTCCAGCGTAGAACTCCCCTACCGCTGGGTCTGATACAGCATGATTGTCCTTGTCTAGCACCTGAAGGAACAGAATGTTTCTTGACACATTCTCTACCATGACTGATTATTTGACATTTGCTGTTGATTTTTCTTTTCACTTATCCAAAAACAAAATTGATCACATTGGCATGTTTGTGTAAACTCATGCACGTAAATAAACACAAAGGAACTTAAGTTAGACATCACAATAAGTTAACTCTTTCCCCTTAGACCTTTCCCTCCTTTACCCCTTAATGACGACTTTTGACGCCTAGGCCCCAACCCTTAATGACGACTTTTGACGCATGTGTATTTCATTGTTGATTTGACTTGAAATTACCGCTTGTTTACTAGTTATCAGAACACAGGTGGCCACCTGCAGGTTAACAATAGATGATTGCATCATACTACAGTTAGAAATCACGTGATTTACCTGTGTAAACAAATAATAGAATCTTGGAAAGTCCCACCAAAATTCAAAATGGCGGACTATTACATACGATGTTTTTTGAGTATATAACTCAGTAAATACGCAATATTTTCTCATCCAGTAAAGCATTACATGAAATTCAAGCTTTAAACTACCTATTTCTTGAAAGGTTTGAAAATTATAATGATCTATATGTGTAATATACTCCAACAAAAGATACGAAAATTTTTTGAAGTTCGGGACCGCGCAGTGCCGATTTCGTTACCTGTTTCTCACAAATTCAGAAGATACCTTCCACAGTTTGTTCCATTTTACACATATTTATAAATGTAAAGGTGTAGAAAATAATTATTTTGATAGAATTGGGTCATTAAAGTGTCCAAAAACGTTCAGAAATCAAGTTTTAGGACGCAAGTCTGAAAATTTGTTGGCGAGATTGACATTGAAGAAGCGCGGAATTTATCGATTTCTGAGGAATTAAACTTATTAAAATGATAATAAATAATAATTTAACCATCAATTATATCATCACACATATTTCTTAATTATTTATACAGACAATTTTGGCTTATTAAAGCCGTTTTACATGTTGAAAATATCTATTTTTCTATTTTCACCTGCTTTCACCTGAATTATTTTTTAACAGAAAACTATGATCGAAATTATGTAAATAGATTTGAAAAATTTAATTTATTACGAATCCAATGATATATAATACATAGTATAAATGAAATATTTTGACCCTTCTTTGTTCAATTTTAAACTGCACTCCAATTCATCTAAACCCCTCTAAGGGGCAGCCAGGCAAACACTCTAAGGATATGGCCAGTGCGTCAAATCGTGGCATTAAGGGGTAAAGATTTAAAGAGAAGTTTATAAAATATACATGTATGTCGGGAGAAATTTACACATGGCATTTTTGCTGTTCTTGTACATGAAAAATATGAATATAAGGAATGTTTTCAATTTATCTGGAAATTACACAGACTTGCATGTAGACATATTTTTCATGAAGAGCAGCATGGGCATTCATCATGAAATGTGCTTCAGAATCTGTAAAAAGTCTGTATGATTTCTACCTTCCTCACCAAAGATTTTGAAAAAAGTCCTTACATATTTATTTTTTTTTTCTTTTACTTAGATTCAATCTTTATGTGAATTGAATTTAATTGAAGGAAACTTAAATGCATTAAACTTGAAATTTTAAAGTCTTAAAGACATTTTAGAAACAACAGGTACTTAAAAATGATGTAATAATATTTCAGCTTTACCTTCGAGAAACTTTAAATAATACTGTCAACACCCAAAATTCATTTTCTCATTTTTTTTTACTTTGGTAAAAAAGGGTGGGGTGGGGGTGGGGGGTATTATACCATTTTCATTTCAGCATCTTGCTCCGATAATTTCGTCAGTTCCTCAGACAGCAGCTGGACGACAATTCTACTGGGGTCCTCCACACCCACCACTAACAGCTATAAAGATTAGAGAGACAATGGGATAAACTATCAAGACACTTGACTAATCTAAAATCACCATTCTAAAGGAAAGTGCATTCATCATCCAGAAAATTCACCAATCTAATCACGTTCTTGTATTATGGTAACCTTCTAATGTATTTACTCCATCTTCATTTTTAATAAAATGGTTACAATGGGTCAATAAGAGTTAAGTTCTTCTTATAAAAATGAAGTTTAGTAACTTTTTTTTCTAAGCATGGATTATCAACTTTACTTAAGCCTGTGATACTTGCTTAATTTCTTTCTTCAAATTCTAAAAATTATTCAATGTGAACTAATACACAATGCTTCCAAAACAATGTGTATCTCGATGATTCTTACTTCATATTCCTTGCTAATCTCTAGACTGTTTGTAGCAATTCTGTTGGAAGGTGATGGCGCAGACTTTCTCTTTCCTGAAAATTAATCCTTCATCAGTGTTTTCTTCTTTTTAAAGCAAATATGAATTAAATGGAGAGACTATGAAAATACATTATTTTTTCTTCTTCTTGTAGTTCACTTCTTACTTGAATTTTGTATAATTACACAAGACTTGCTGATGGCAAAAATTTCATTCTTTAATTTCCTTAATTTCTAGCCTTTTTGATAATCATATACAACAAACTTTTAACTTTTCATCCTTCTGAGCAAATTTGAAAATTCATTTTTTTTTTTGAATAATTAAAAAAAAATTCTTCTGGAGCCATCAATTTACCATGAATTTTTGTTGTTTTTTTACCCACAAAAAATGTACTTCTCACAGTCTTCAATTTCCTTAATTTCTGTACATTTGGACACTTTGACAATATTGACAATCAACTAAAATTCTTACTCTCTAACTTTTCATTCTTCTGAGCAATTTTTTGAAACATTATTTTTTTTTATTGATAAATTTCTACTGGAGCATATAAAATAATTTTAAATGCCCAGAACTAGACCTAACTACCTTGAGGCTGTACACTTGACAAGGTAGTGCCGTTATGTTTTACCCGTATGTGAAAGTAACCTGTGGGATACACTGTTTGTTGACTAAAGATTTTAATAAAAGTCTGGACTCCCTTCAGCAATGACATAATCACTCTGTTTGGGGGATGGCTGACTCCGAGTAGCTCTGTTAGGCGTGACCTGAATATAAATAATTTATATCTCGTTTTGACTCCCAAATGTGGTGGATGACTAATTAAAAAGGAGCCGCTTTGTTTCCGGTGATGGCTGACAGCTGATCGCTGTTTATATAGGCTTGTGACCTGTATGACGTTTTACATAGACTGGGGGGATTTTGCACAACCACTTACAGAGCCGTACTGCTCCTGTACAATACTTTTGGCATAGGATTTCATTTCCTGTAAAAGGTAGGAGAATTCTAATAAAACCAGTAAACAGAACAGTGTGTAATATGTATATTGAAACAACATAGCAATCACTTCACAATTATCATATTTAAAATTTTCCATGAGAGAAAATGAAATTTTAACTTCTGTGTAACAAAAATTTTTATATCAAATCCAAAGTGTTTAATTCAAATGGTAATTATTTCATCAAGCTTCTTCACGTTGGAAAATAAGAAACTTCTCATTTCAAATGGATCAAAATACTCCCAATTACTGAATTAATTAAAAGAAAGCCAGCATATCAGTTCCTACCTCTGCTACATCATCATCTCCAATGGTCACCTCAAACTGACTGGCCATCGGTTGTTAATAGATAGAGCCTTAAGGAATGCTCCCTACAAGAAATCAAGTGACACAAAATCAGCTAACAAGAAAAATACATGGAATTTTTTAAGTCCAAAGTGGTCAGATCATAACCACAACAGAACTTGACCTAGATAGTTTTATGATAAATCAAATGATGAAATTTCATTTCAATATATGCAATCTCTGCAAAGAAAATGAAAGGAAACTGCAAATAATTGGAATTTTTCTAAGTCCATCAATTAATCAAATGGCAAAATTGTACCCAAAACAGTACTTGACCTAGATATTCTTATGATAAATCTCTATACCGAATTTTATTTCAATATGTGCAACCTCTACTGTAAGTAAATGTATAAAATGGCAATGAGTTTGCTTACTTAATGTGTATACTGATTACAAAGAAATGAATAAAATGATATAATTGTTTACCTGATGTTTCTGCAGTTTTGGCTGTGTTCCGGCCAGTGGTCTGCTTGACACTGCTGGGAGCAGTAAGGCGTCTTACAGCGACTGCACTGGAATCCCCCTGACAACACCAACATTATCATGAATATGCAGCAAAAACAGACACCTTATGATACTGTGGAATTATTGTTTGTGGCGGACCAATATTCATGGATTTTATGTGTTACTCTTATCTATGAATTAACGTTCCCACAAATAATTATTTTGTCTATATATTTTTTTTCAGTCCCTCTGCATACCAGGTTATCCATAAAATAACATTCCCAAGAGACAGTAACATTTCGCTTACTCTAGAATATTGACCAACAAATATTAAAGTAATATTACGGTAATTAACATTTGTGGAAAAAAAAATTATCTTCATCACATACCTATCTTCTTGCAGTTGGCACATGGACGATCCATGATCCTATTTTCTTGTCTAGGCGTAAACTGACCACCTGTTTCACATAAACAAAATAAATGTTAAATAAAGAAAGCCAATGTTACCCATTATCTCTACACCTAAATCAAAGGCATCAATAAAATATTCACTGAAAATGATATTTTAATCACAAGATAAAATTAAGAAAACAGCTCTTTTGCCTTGGAGATTATGCTCACCTCTGCCCCTGTTTGGCTGACCTCTTGCCCCCCTGAAGCCTCTGGCACTGTAAGGGGGTCCCTGATGTCTGTTGTAATAAGGCTCCTGGTTTCTGTATCCTCCCTGGTAATTCCCTGTCTGGTTATCCGTGTACCCCCATGGCCCCCCTCTATTATTATAATTCATACCCCTACCTCTGGGCCCTATCATTCCTCTACCTCGATTGCCATACATTGGGTAGTTATCCGGATATCTATTATAATTCCCCCTTCCCATGTTGTTATAGCCCATATTACCCCTTCCCCTAAAATTTCCCCTTGGGGAGCCCCTCATGTTATCCCTCCCCATTCCCTGCTGAACGTGTCTATGTTCTCCGTCCGACACTATTCGTATGCCTGCGTTTGGTTCCCCTACATATCCCGGATGTTGATTTCTCTCGTAGAAATCCTGAGGGGCACTGCCTTGGTACTCGACACCGTTCTGATTAGGGCTGGTGGCTTGCCCCCACCCCAGGGACTGAAATTTCATGTCCAGGTGGCTGCTTCCTGGAGAATGAAAAAGAGAGGGATCAATGGGGGTGGAGACATCTGACCTTGCACATGACCTTGGGGACACCTGACTCAGGGCACCTGTTCAAGGAAAAAGGAGACAAAGCAACATAAGTTTTTGTAAGAAAGAGAATTACGACATTTTCATTAATGCTTTTATTTGTTTTCTAAACTGGACAAAGAGTATCATAATTATATAAAATACATTTATATGATCTGTGAATGAAGTTTATTTAGTAAAGGAACTTTAAATGCAATAAAGATCAACGTAATAACCCAATTTCAACCCAAATTTGTAAAAATATACTGCAGTAAAAATAACCTGTTATATGCTATACATTATTTTTTATTATCAGTCATCTTGCAAAACATGGCTGTAAAAAATAAGAATGGTAATATTTGACTTTTAATCCAAGAAACGAAAATAAATAATCAGTTAACACTCCATCAATGTAAAAGAAACTGGAAATAGAAACAAATTGTGAGTAAAAACATTTAACAGATTAATGAATTTAATTCAGGAAAGAAAGTGTCAAACTAACGAGAAAGCATGATCAATTAATACCTGGGTACTCCCCCAATATTCCAGGTTTCTCCTCTCCTGTTGATAGAGTTACAAAATCAATACACACTCTCTAATGACTAAAAGCAATTCATTTCATTCACAACAGACTGGCCATTGAGCAGTGTTGTAAACCTACCCTTTCAATAGAACAAACTTTTATGTCTAGAATTTTAATAATTTCTTTGTTTTTCTATTCTTCAAATTGTCCTGGCTTAAATTTCATATTTCTAAGAAAGTGACCTTGACCTTGCTTAAGTCCAGAAGTTGACCTTAAGTCTGAGTATATACAAGACACATTACACATCTGTTCTAAGTACTACATGTATCTGTGAAAAAAAAAATTTTTTTTTTGCAGATATTTATCTAGTGCAAAGAGAAAACTGTAATCTATATTTTACATTTATCCTATGAAATTCTATATATACAGTGTATATTATGTATCTTTAAATGATGTAGAGATGGTGACAGTGCATGCATTACATCAAAGTCCAAAAAGCAAAATTAAAGAGTTATTACTCCAGAAAAGTCAGAGAAAATGCTAAAAATGTATGAAAAATAAAAACATATAATTCAAATGAGGAAGAAAGTGAATCATGCATGGTCAATTAATACCTGGGTAATCCCCCAATAAGCCAGGTCTCCCATTTCCTACTGGAGAAATTAAATTAGCTGTACATACATGCAGACAAGGTCATAGTGCAAGAACATGTATTTATAAATTCAGGCTTACAGCAGTGATTTCATTAGTGCAAACAAACTATTGTTCGTGATTCTTTAGTTTGAAATTTATCTGTGATGATTAATTTTCGCGACTGAGGAAACATTTTCGACAAATACAAACCAAAATCATTAGTTGGCAGCGATTAACATGATTAATATTTGCGAGGTTAAAGTAGGTCGCGAAACTCGCACACAAATAAAAGTTTGTTTACAGAATATGTAACATGAGCTTTACAAATACCAGTTACGTTTTTATTTGAAACAAAATTGTTTGTCACAATTAAGCATTTCACTGTAAGCTTGTTTTACTGTAAACTTTCACCAACATGTACAAACAACAGTTAATCATTGATTTAATTGCCCCAGAAAAGTAAACTTTAAAATTAAATTAACAACATGCAACCCACAACGTATTTTAAGTCCAAATATTGTCAGATCCTTTGTAATTTCTTTTTAACATACCTGGTTTCTTCACTGGAGCTTCTTGCAAGGTCGGAGGGCTGTGAAAAAGCAAACAAAGGGAGATAATCATCACTATACTGTTGTACATGTACATACGTTTTCTGTGAGCTTTTTGCATGTGTGGTTATACATCACACTGATTTTTGTACATGTAATAAATGACCGGTTATTATGAATTTTTCTTTCGTTTTCGGTTTACAAACTTCTCTTTATAAGTCTTCAATGTTTACCTTTCATTCACTTTGTTCTTTCCAAACATGATTTTCTCCCCTGACTGCAAATAAGAAGGTAGTCAAAAATGAATGTTGATGAAGTTTTAAGTTTAAGTTGAAGACAATGATGGAGGGATAAAATAATTATTAAGACAAGTCTAAAGTTGATGCTGAAAACATCTTTTCTCAGCAGATGTCCCTCAACAGACTAAGAATGATTTAGTTTAATCAGTATTTTATTAAGTAAAGTAATTTTTCAATTTATATATAGAAATTTCTTTTTTTTTTAAAATGTGGATCCATTAATTGGTCACGATGAAAAAAGAGGAAACAATAAATGAGAGAAACAAATCCAGTAGGCATATTATTGATCTCACAAAAGAGCTGAAAGTCAGTGATATAAAGACCTTGCATGCCAAGATATATCAGCCTCAATACTCTCAGAGGCAGCCGTTAGCAACAACAATTGTATAGCGATCTGCTACAAATGATAATTTGACCTAGGTCAATGCTATTTATCTGGTCAAGTTCACCCGTACAACAATTTACAGTTAACATCTTTAAAATCCATCACTATATACATTGTAGTCCAATATAAATGTTACAAGTATAACTGTTTAAACTTTCATACAGTTTACAACTTATCCTGCTCAGAGAATAGGAACTACGACCATTTGACCTTGTGCTATATATACATTATACACAAAACTATGCAAAGATTGTGTTTGACCTTATGCACTGTCACTGACTCAGCAATTTATGTGTGGGAGTAGTAACAAGAGGTCCACAGGCCACAACTCTCACCTGAGTCACTATTTGCCCTATTGTTCTTCCCTTATATATATGCATATTCCTATATAAAACTTTTGATTTCCTATTAATAAACCCTATATAAAACTTTTGATTTCCTATTAATAAACCCATCCTACCCTTCGTTTGGGGTGGGTAGTGAGGGGTTGGGATTTGAAGAAATTCAAATCTACATTATATGTCCTTGTGAAAAAAATGTTCAAGGATTTTTTCCAGCATATTCTCAAGTAAAACTGTCATGGTCTATTGTGGTCCCTCCCTATCCCAGGGGTCATGATTTAGACAAACTTGAATCTACACTACCAAAAGATGTTTGAAAAATCAATATAAAGGCATCCTTGCTATTCTGGAGACTTTTCCTAAATCTAAAACATTATTTTTTAAGTAAAACAATGTCCCTTATTATGACCCTATTTCTGAGTCAGCAGCAAAGTAAAACATCGCTTTGGAATCATGCTGCCTATCTGTCAAACCTGAGTCTTGTGAACTGTAAGATGTGGAAATATGATAATTTGCTCCTATACATTGCTTGGCTCACTGGCTCTTGTAAAGAACTTGAGATACTGACATCATGACCTTGACCTATTTTTCAAACTGCAGTAACTTATTTACTTTACCTGACAAGCATTGGGTGACAATTTTTGTGTTTAAATTAGACAGAATGCTGATTTAGATTGTTCAAACAGCTAAAATAGTAGTATTGGAATTATCATGAACACTAAGATTTGAATAAACAGTAAAACATTGCACAGAATTTAAATGAAATAATTTCTCTGTAATATGCACATCTACACATTTTGACCTATATATCTGCAAAGTTTGACAAATTCTATGCAGTGGTTTATGAGAAGTTGCACTGACAAAACTGTTCATCTATATATTCAAGATATGGCCAAAAATCTGAGTTGAAAAGTTCTGAAATTCCCCCCTAAACAATAAAGGAATCGGATTTTCCTTCTAATATGCAAATCACATTGTGTACTAAATATCTGCAAAGTTTGATCAAATTCTGTGCAGCAGTTTATGAGGAGTTTTGCTGACAAACTGTTCATCTCAATATTCATGATATGGCCAAAAATTGAAGTTGAAAAGTGCGGAAATTCCTGGAAAAAATTAAGGAGTTGGAATTTTTTTTCTGATGAAAAAATTATTTTAAAACTATCAATATAAAGATAAGACACTGCACATCTACACATTGTGTCCTAAATATCTGAAAAGTTCGACAAAATTCAGTGCAGCGGTTTATGTGAAGTTGCACTGACAAAACTGTTCATCTCTATATTCAAGATATGGCCAAAAATCTATGTTGAAAATTATGGAGTTTTGCTGACAAAAAAGCAGGACTGACTGACTGACAACACAAAAAGGAATCGGAATTTCATTGTATCTATTACTTCCAAGACAATAAGAAATCATGGCGTTATGAAGAGCAATTTCATAATAAGCACATCTACACATTGTGTCACTAAATATCTGCAAAGTTTGATGAAATGTCTGTGCAGAAAAACGGTTTATGAGGAGTTTTCACAAACAATTTATAAAGTATGTTTAAAACACAGTCAAAAAGTCACACTCTCAGGACAGATGACTGACTGAAACTGACAAAAACAGACACACAGTATGCTTTTCTATATGATTTTTTAACTGGCTGAATTTTGCTTTTTTAAGAATGTTTTATCACCCAAGTGTGAAGAGTTATCGTTCTTTGTACAAATATGCAAAAATATAAGAAAAAATAAAAATACCTCATTTTTAAAAAGTTTTATTATACAATTAAAAACATTGACCAAAATTAAATTTTTAAAGATATAAATCAGCAATTTTAAGTTGTTCTGAATTTCTTTTTTCCCAAAAAATATTATAAAAAACTTATATTTATGAACCATATATATATCAACACACTTTGTGATAGCGCAATTGCATTCAATTTTCAGCTTAATGTATATCAAATCAAACTTTTGACCACCAATTTTCAGCTTAATGTATTCAAATCTTAAACATTTTTTTTTTATTTCTGAGTTTCAGTTTTATTCATTTGTTAAATGTTCTTTCACCAAAAAGAAAATTAAAATTCATCATAGCTCAACTCATATACATCATTTCCAATAATTTTTGATCCAATGAATATTTTTATTTCATTGTAAATAAGTAACTGTTGTACTCAGTGTCATAACACAGGAATGTAAACAAAGCTGCTTCATATCTTCCAAGTCGTTCATTCACTTTTTTGTTTGACACAAAATCTGAATGGCATATTTAAAATCTAGGGCATTCACTTGGTATGGAATTGTTTGCATTGGAATCGTTAATCAAGAATATTATATACTTTTGCACCATGTATTGAATTTAATAGCATTATTCATGAATTTGTGCTTTGTTGTCCGCTCTAGAGCCACCGATATACCAAGCCTACTATTTTAACAAGTGCTCTTATAGTAATCAAATTTTATGTTGGGGGGAGGGGGGGTATTGAACTGTCAGTCCTAGTTATGTTCAAAAAGAGATTGATTAACTCACCCTGCTCATGAAGTGAGCACTGCCGTCTGACTCGGAGCCTGAGCTGGCTTTACTGCGGGGCTGTGACTTCCTGTTACTGCTCAACGAATTCAGGAACTCCTCCTCCTCCTAGTGATAAAGTGATTTATATTTAGACATTCAGTAAACAAAGATGTTTTAGCAAATATTCTCTTTATAAGAGCGATATCCATTTATATAATAAACTGAAAACTTACGATGTCATGGTAAAAGCTTTTGTACACTCTTGTTTTAAACCAACTTTTTCAACCTCAAAGCTTAAGCAATGAAGTCTTAAACAATTAGCACTGTTCAAAATAATTTTTGGTGAAGTTTTTACCTGTTTCTGCTTCTGTTGTCGACTTCTATCTTCGTCTGTTTTAGAGAACTTGACTCTCAATTTGTTGTCGCCGATGGGAAATTCGTGATATTTACGAATGGCTTTCTCACACTCATTGACTGTCGCCATCTTGACAAATCTGAAACCAAATCAACATAACCAATACAAAGATACTCCATCTAAAACACAGCTTCTCGGAAATCGTCAAGCTTCAGTGTTCAAACTTTTTTTTCTCTTGTTAACTTTCTCTTTACTTTCACTCTTTACTTTCATTCATATTCATAATGGACCTCAGTTAATTTTATTTAGAGGGATAATTAATATCAAATAGAACATCAATTCTATTTAAGATCTGATCTCACTACTATACAACTCACCCATACGTATTCCCAGTCCCTTCCATTTTGGACTTCATTTTCTTTGCTTCCACACAAGTGCCAGCCTTACTAAATAAATTCACCAATCCTTCCTGCAAGTTAAAATTAAACTTTATTTTTTTCCCATCAGTCATTTAATTTTCAGGTAATTAATTCTAATGAAATTGTATACAGATTTATTTCTTCTGGCAGTGCCACTCCTACTTTACACCATTCGCAAATGTAAGTGTGGCACTGTACAATAATAAATTATCACTTCTTTCAGCATGAACATTACTAATTCTGAAACACACTTGGTCGGGCATTTATACATTTAATTGATTGAATGTCTTGTACTTACTTCTGTCATTTCATCTGGAATTCCGGTGACATACAAGGACACACCACTAAAGTAACAAGATACACATATTAATTCAAAAAAAGTCTCCCTCTGTGCCCCCCCCCCCTTCAAACTATTTCAGCTTCATTTAATGTTATTCTACTGAAATACAGACTTCTTGAAATCTCAGGCTCAGATAAACCAAGAAAACTTCCAAGATATTTGGTAGGTCAAGACTTCAAGAATAAAATTAAATAAAGTCACAGACACTTTCATCTAACTTTGACATGTCACCAATATTTATCATTTGACATTCTAGAATCCAGACACTCAAATTTAACTGTACAAATATATTCCTTTTTTTCTACTAACCCATAACGGTCTGGGCCCCTCTTTGGCATGTTTTTACCGTGTCCTCTGTCATATTTGTTAAATTCTTCATCTAGATGGTCATCCTTCATAGGGTTCCAGCTATCTAAATCTCTGTAACGGTTATCACATGTACAGCAATACATCAATGATAAACCATGGCATTATTACTGTTATCTAAATCTTTTTTACCTAACATTGGCACAAGAAGTTACCTCCAATTTAAGTTTGTAAATTTTTGTCAAATTCATTTCCAAAACAGATAAATAATTTAAAAGAAGTTCTAAACTGAATCCACTTCTTGTACATTGTTGTAGTAGAAAACGCAGTAAGCTTACATTTAAATTGTTTTATATCTGCTGAATTAACTTAAGCATATTATATTATGCTTCATACAAAGGTCACCTTAAAATTAAAGTGAAAGTGAAAATACTAACTTCATTTTCCTGGATCAATATAAAATTCACTATGTTAGTGCTAAACTTGAATGTCTATAATTCAGACTATATGCTCATGTTAGATAAAAGAGTGTTTTAAATAATAAAGTTTCCTAAAAGGAAACTTTAAATAACTTGAAAGATTTTGAAATACAGTTGTTCTTTGATTTAAACAAAGGAACGAAATTTAAAAGCTTATGAACTTAAAAATCTTTAGTTTCATCATTTATTCTTGTCTTGTAGGAATTTCATTTAAATATTAATTGGAATCGGCTCCAAAATCATTTTAGCATGTTTAGTAAAAATTACTATGGTACATACCCATTTGAAGCCATTATCTGAAAAAACAGAAAACTCTTCCTATAAAAAACAATATTGAGTTCAAATCTGTAATACTTTAAAATTTACATAATGAAATACACTATGTACAGGATCCGATTTTCCCCGAAAATTTATCCCAGTGCTCTCAAAGTATAATTAAAGAATATAGTTGCAATCAAAGAAATCTGCATGATTTTCTATGGAAGGGAAATTGCAATTTCGCAGAATTTTGACCCCCGTGGAAAAAAGTACATTTACAGTAGTTAAGACAAAAGAAGTTAATCTACTCATTAAACAGTCAACTGTATTAATATTTCAACTAAAACTGAATCTATTTATTTTTACGTCATCTTTTAGTCACCAGTAATGTTGTCAATTAGAAATCATTCTGTGCTGCTATTATTTGCAACTGAGGAAACAATTCTGAGCATTGACAAGCACAAAGCAAAATAAATGGTTTGTAGCAATAAATTTTCAAGAGTTAAAGTAGGTTGCAAAACTCACAAATATATAAAACACATAAGTTACATGAATTAAAGTTGTTTACAGTATTGACTCAAAAGTTTTTATTTTCTTTCTTGAAGTGTCAAATGCAACAATCACATTATAATGAATGCACTCATTCAAATATGTACATCAGGGAAAACATTTTTCATTTCAGACAATCGTTTGACATGACAGAAAATTCCCATTTGCAGTGTTTTCCCTTTATTTCAAAGTAAAGGGTTAGAGATCAATTGTAACAGGCTAGGGTATGAGGTTCATGAACAAAATCTCTGTGGACCTTACAACAAATTTTTATTTCAAAGCGTCATTTTTGTCATTTGAAGCAGTCAATTTGGCTGGTTTCCGGTTCTTAGGGCAAACACTGCCATTTGTATTTTCGCATCGTATCAGTAACAGATCTTTTCCCAATGGTTAGAAAAAATTGCTGTAAGAATACCATATATTTGTTCTAAAATCTCTAGAGCTCAGAAGCCTCCATCCCCCCCCCCTCCCAGGGCTGATGCCGTGTGCTTTAAACCATTAGGCCTCCACATCTCTTTCCTTATCTGCTAGAACCCCTCTCACTTAAAACCCTCTATCTTCCCCTGTTAACTGCTTTACATGTTTAAATAAGAAGTTGATATCAATCTCATGTTTTTACGAGGTCACAATGATTGAAGCAATTCCATCAGTTTGTACTTTGACCTACTTTTTCAAAGTTGCACCTTCCTCTTCATAATTTTCAGAAGCAAACATATGCAGTGTCTATATTGATCCAGCCTTATGCATATATACTGACTTTAAACCCATGGAAGCTAGAAGAGTGTTAGATCATATTGCAAAAGTATTCTACCGAGTATGAAGTCCTCGGGAGCCTGAGGAGGCAGAGACCTTCCATGTGCAAATTATTTCCCGCCAAACTTCACTCCCCCTTTTGTACGCATTATTCTTGCAAAAATCGGCCTCTAAGTCCTCTGTACTGAGGTAAGAATTATTTTGCATCTTATTCGACGTGATTCAAAGCTTTTTCTTACCTATACAACCAATTTATATTCAATTTCTCCTTCTTAACTTATCCTCAGCCTCCAACCACATGCTAAATTCGGTGTTTCTTAGACGCTTCAAACGCTAGAAAGAGACAGATAAAAGTTGAACTTTCGATTTTACAATCATCATTGAAATTTCTTTCTAATCATAAATAATACAATTTTTCTCTCCAAATCAAGCACATGATAGGTTCTCTGTCCAAAAAGATTTATTTACACAAAATGATTTCCGAGTTTCTGTTGGTCATGTGACCTACTCCATTTTGTTTTGTTGGCAGGAGTTCCGAATGTCATCAGGAAAAGCCATGTTAGTGTTGACAAATAGACTTGTGTCTGTCATAAACCTGTAGACAAAGGTATTCATTTGTTTATATTTACAATATAGAACTAAGAAAGCACATATTTTGATGTTACTTTCAAAGATAGAATGTTTACTTGAGTGTAAAGTCAAAACAAATCGATGAATACCCATTTTATTGATTTTCAACAACCCATAACCTGTTTGTTTTAAGAAGAAAAACGAAGATATTTTTTGTGACTAATGCCATATAACCATTGATTCTTCTACTATTCACATGAACTTAAGCATTTTTAATACAATATCAGGGTGGTCTTTGTAGTTCTAATAATGAATGAGTCAGTGATATTGTTTGATACTGAATAAAAATAAAATGAGTCACATATTGTTTGATTCTGAATTTATTTTGTTTCAGATCAAGAATGAATTTTGGAAGGGTGCGGGTCTTTTTTTATCTTATTTTATTTAATGTTAGGTTGATCAAATTTCAGTTTGAAGAAGCCACAAATGTAAGAGATTAATACGTTTTAGAAAGATACACTTATATAATACGTAATTCACAATGATTTACGCTTTTTACCTGTAGGTCCTTTGTGGTAGGCAATGTCTGGTATAGATCCAGATGAGGAAGCCAATGTCACAGAAAATCCAGATCCTGAATCTGAAAGTGCTGCTTCAGTGAATGCAGAGAATGATCTGCCAGAAAGTAATCCAAATGATGGAGTAGAAGGAGAAATTAATGTACCGGTCAGCAATGAACACTTGCCACAAGACAATGGCTCTCATCCAGAAAATGTGGTAGATGAAAATGTTGAGGAAAATAAGGCAGAAGAGGATGGGCAAGGACAGGATGAATGTGTTATGAATGTGGAAGGAGATGAGAAAGCTGAGGATGAAAGAGAGGCAGATGGTGGGGTGATTCGGGAGGGACAGATCAGCTGTGGGAGGGATGAACAGCTGATTCAGGGGATAGGGCAAGAGGAGGCAGAAGCAGATGCCTCACTGGTGAGAGAAGTCAGTAAGTGTGAAAGTGAAAGTCATGTTAAGTGTGGAGCTTCTCTTGATGAAAATGAAAGTGAACCTATAAATGTATTGGAACAAAGTGAACAGAGAGTAAATGATGCAAGAGAAGAAGAAAATATCAGTGAAGGAAGCAATTCTGTGATAAATTTAGGTAGTGATGGTTCAAACTCGGAATCAAACCTTGTACAATGTGGTGTAAACAATGTGGTAGAGAATCTCAGTCCTGAAAATTCAGTGGTTGTGGATGGAAATGCCGTCATTCCAGAGGATGAGATCTGTTGTCAAAACTGGACATCTGAAGCAAGACCGCAGTTACATGTACTCTCTCCGACAGAGAGCATTGAATCTTATGAACCAGAGTGTGACCAAGAGGCAGACATATCACCGAGTCATGAACCTGAACCAGCAAACAGTGATGAACCTGAACAAGCAAACAGTTCAGAAATGAATGAAACTTGTGGACAGGGAGGGGGAGAAAATCAAGGGGAGGAGACTATTTGTGTTGTAGTCAATCCTCAGAATCCAGCTTTAAGTGATAAAGAATCCAGGACAGATCATGTGACATCTAGTCAGTATGATACAAAAACCACATCGTGTTCAACAGAGAGCAATAAAATTGATGGTGCTGGTCTGAACTTTGTAAATGTGAACGGGAGTGTTACAAATCATATCGAAAGTCGAAATAAAATCTCAACTTATGAATCTGATGATGACCTCTTGTCTGAACTAGAATCTGAACTGACCAATGGCCCGAGAACCAATCAAAATAGTCGAAATGGGCCTGATGCAGAGGTCAATCCTAAATTACCCAATGGAATGTGTGGAACAATTGATCATAAAGTTAGGCAGGAAATCCAAGATTTACAGATGCAGCTGAAGCATTCCAGAGACAAACTAGAGCAGAAAGATGCTGAAATGAAAAGGTAGGTCACATAAACATATAGCATATGATATATAATGTTAAAATGTATACAATGTTGTTCGATTGTTGTGCACATGGTGTACAATGTATGAGTCAAATAAGATATACATCATGTACATGTGAATCTGAATCTGTACCAGTGCATGTACAATGTATGTGAAAATTGACCCCATAATTTAGTACATATATACAAATATTTAGTGTCTTGTCTCAGTCTTGTGTCAACAGGACACCTGATAAATCAAAAAAGGTTGATTTATGCAAATAACATGTACAAAAACATGTAGGTTCAGGTTTACTGTATAATATAAGGCTGTGTTATGAACACTATACATACATGTAGATCTACTGATTTGTAAGAATTAATTAGTTTTATCTATTGTACTTAATTTACATAAATAATCACAGAAACATGCATGATGACAAACATGGCAAAGAGCATGATGACACAATCATTTTAAAGCCAACAGAATTCTTTGTTACATAGATACCAGAAGCAAGCGACAAAAAAGGGGCAGCGTATTAAGGTTTTTACAGCACTTGAATCAGTTGCTCTCTGCTTTACATGTATCTGCTCTGCTTTATCTGTCCAAATTTTCTCAAGCAGAGAGCTACATTTCTGCAGTTAGCTAAATAAGTTATTTTTTTAGCAAGTTAATTTAAGGTAATCATGGTAATATGGCTTTCTGTTGATCAAGGTACAAGTTTTTAACATTTTTGAATGAAATCTTTGACAGTCAGGATGGTCATGGAATGCTAGCTACCCACCATACTCTAGTGTTGTCACAATGATCAATTTATAATCGATGATCGGTCGGAAAGGCTGTCGATTTTAGACAATCGATTGGAGATTTTAACAATCGATTAATCGGTATATTTCAGCACATATCTTTTTTCACAATTTTCCCACTTTTATTTCAAGAACAGGCTCTTGTTATCAAAATATATATCTTTCAAGAGTTGTCCTTTACTATTTTAGAATACACTGTACTTAAAATCTGTTTAAAATAAATCAAAAGATAATGATATTTGTATTTCTAAACTGAAGAAACTAAACTACTTGTTTAAATAAAATATGTTAATTTTCAGTATTTGGGGGAATTCACCTGTCACTTCATACGGAATCACAAGGAATTTGCAATATTAAATGTCTTATAACAGTTTAAAAAATTAATTCCATATACATTTTAGATGATCATGTAAATTAAAACCTGATCTGTCAATGCTTACTTTTCCCAGGCCAAGTAATTCCTAATCATGAAAAAATCTGTATTACTGAAATAGTTAATCAGACTGCATATATACTGTTTTTAGAATTTCGATCTGTACAATGCACCTTTACTTACATTATTTAACAATAAAATTCTAATTTTTATAAAATCTAATGCCTATTTTATGCAAAGGGTTACCGATTCGATTATTTTACCGATTAATCGATTCTGAGTTTCAACCGATTTGACAACACTACCATACTCGACAATTTCTGAAGAGCATCAAGATTATTGACATTTGCATTACCATACCAAAGTTACTTTCCTTTAATTGACAAAAGACATTTTTCTCTAAATGACTCATGCAGACTAAAGGTCCTAAAAAATGAAAATGTGGTTTTCATTTCACTGTTACCACTAGATAAGATTGGTCTATAAAAATTGATTTATGTCAAAGAATTTAAAGTATATCATCATGATCATTAAATAAGGCAATTTAAGTCATTGGAAGATCCATAATAAAAAATAAAAAGTGGCTTATCTAGAAAAAATCAAGAATAAACTTGACTGATTTGAAGAAGGAGATAGAGTGATAAATTCAAGTAGTATTTGTACTTGTTTGCATATATTTCCTAATCCATTGTAAAAAGACATATAGTACAGATAGTGTATCACAAACTGCAGTGATAAAATTGACTTTTAAAAATACGTTTGTACTTGTGCCAGAAGGGTATTCATAAAATTAAAATGAAGTAACAGAGAAATTAAATGAAAAAAAATACTTTAGAGGGAATGGTAGGATTCATTTTAAGATTGTGATTCTATTTAAGAATGAAATGATAATAATAATATTGTGATTTATCCTGCTAGTTCATTAAAGTATTATAATTAACACTTGTCATTGCAAAATTCATAATTCAAACTTCAAGACTAGGTCATTGTGACTGTATATTAGTTAGTACCACAAAATTGAACAGATTTATTTTCTAAATTTGTGAATGTAAATGGAATTATTGATTAGAATAAGATTTTCCCCTTTTCAACTTCAAGTTCAAATGTCAAGGCCAATTATAAAAGTAATTTATAATCATGTGTTAATAGCAGTACTTAAACTTTTTTTTTGTTTTTACATTATGTGATTAATTGTCAAGGTCAAGGTCTTACCAAGATTATTTTAAAATTTAAATTATTTCATCTGGAATTAAAAATAGTATAAAAGTACATAAGATCATGGTAATGATAAGTCACCCAAAACAATAAGCTAAATCGTACACATGATGCAAATCAAAGTTGTTAACACAGAAATTCTGGTTTGCAATCTTAATAGTAACATTGTATAATTACAAATCAGTTGATTCAAACATGACACAATAGGTATTAATTCTTCAATTTTTCTGTTATTTGAAAATCTTTTAGCCTGCATGCATGCCACAACATTTGTTAATGATGTTAAACATGATTTGTAACTATATATAGCCAGCTGATTACTAGTCCATGAATACATAACATTTTATCTTTGTTTACATTAACTTTATCAGGATGAGTGATATTACATTGATTCTTGTGATGTAGCTGTCGTCTTATGTTCTGAACAAGTTGACACATTGTCAGTTATACGAAGTTTTACAATAGTAAAACATTGGTTTCCTGTGTTGTTTAATGAGGAGGATTTTTACCTAATTGTTTGTGTTTTTAGACTGACAATCAAGGGAGAGGAACAGGAGACGTACGTGGAGAGGATCCTTAAGGAGCGGGACTCGTATCTCAAGGAAATCCGACATCTGAAATCTCAGGATGACCTCTACCTCCCCCAAATCAAAGAGGTAAAATCTGAAATCTTAAGGTGATCTGTATCTCCCCCAAATAAAAGAGGTAATATCTTAAATCTGAAGGTGATCTGAGTGTACCTCCCTCAAATCAAAGAGGTAAAATCTGAAATCTTAAGGTGGTCTGTACCTCCCCCAAATCAAAGAGGTAGAATCTGAAATCTTAAGGTGATCTCTACCTCCCTCAAATGAAAGAGGTAAAATATGAAATCTTAAAGAGGTAGAATCTGAAATCTTAAGGTGACTTGTACCTTCTTCAAATCATGGAGGTAAAATCTGAAATCCTTAGATAGTCTGTACCTCCCTCAAATCAAAGAGTTAATATCTGAAATCTTAAATTGACCTCTAACTCCCCCAAATCAAAGAGATAAAATCTGAAATGTTAAGGTGGTTTGTACCTTCCTCAAATCAATGAGGTAAAATCTGAAATCTTAAGGTGATCTGTACCTCCCCAAAATAAAAGATTTAAAAATTTTATGAAACTGAGGTACAATTGTTAGAAAAACGAGTCTTTGGAGTTAAATTCATAAAAATAGATTGATCTGTATTTCCTTAAAATTCCACATCAAACATGATCAGCCCCTCTCAAAAGTTTTGTAGTTATAAATTTTAGCTTCCTTATGGTTGATTGGAATACACTTCATCACTCTTATAATTGTGCTTTTGTACACAATTTTAACTAGATTAAATTTCAAACCATATTTTGAAAGTTTTTGAATAATAATGGAAAACCAAGGTTTTGAAAAGGTGTCTTTTTTATTGGAATTGGTGATCTTTAAAAAAAAGTTCTAAAAGTGATCACAATTAAATTCTAGATCACAAATTCCTTCAAGTTACTAAAATTTTTTTTTTGTTTTAGCTGGAGTATACAATTGCACAACAGACCAATGAAATCAGGACAGTAAAAGACAAACTCACAAGCCATGATGCTGCAGCCAAGAGAACAGTGGCTGCCCTACAGAATGAACTAAAAGTCAGAGTCGATCAGGTAATAAAAAGCTGTACAGAACAAACTAAAAGTCAGAGTCAATTAGGTGAAGCTCTATGAACTAAAAGTCACAGTTAATATTGGCACTGCATTCAAGATTGTAATGGCTACATAACTATATGTAGCCTTTATGATCTTAAAAGTATGTTTTTGTCACTGGTGATGAGAGAAATATCAGATCAAGTACTCTTCTAGCCCATCTGGCTGAAGGCAATATAACCTGCCTGACCGCCACACTAGCTTAGCAATAACAAGTATTTAATTCAAACAGCACATCCTATATATGTACCGTACTGGCTAGCTGCTACAATCTTGAATGCAGTCCTGTTAAGCAGTAAAGAGAAAAAAAACAAAAATCAGAGTGAATCAGGTGGACAGACCTATAAAATAAACTAAAAGTCAGACTGGGTCAGAACATGAGGGCACACTCCCCTCATATATTTATCAAGACTAGTAATATCTGGGCTCCTGACAATATATAAAAAGTGTGACCTTTCTAAAGCCACAATAATAATGATGTTCTTTTTTTGTCTAGAATGAATTGCTTTGCCCTTAAATTGTCTTTATTGAAATGTCAAATTATGTAAATAATTACTAAGCAAGTAATGAAGGCAGTCTAGTGCCATTTAATGAAGAACTTATGGACACCATTGAAATAAATCTTTTTTTTTTCCTAGAGAAGTTGCGTTTTTTGTTAAACTTGTGTACTTCTATTGTTTTCAACAAGTACTTAGGACAAATGTCCCAGTACTTAGATGTACAGTCCCTATAATAATATTATAAAGACAAAAGTATCAAGATAATAGTCAAAGGTACATTCATTTATCTTTCACATTTCACATGTTTCAGGTGACAAAAATGTATGAAGAAGCCAACAAGGAAAAAGACACAATGGTTGTAAAATATGCCATGGCTGAAAAAAAATTCATAGAAGGTCAAAAGGCCATAGAAAGGTTAGAGTCCAAAGTTCGTGACCTTACTAAGGAGAAGGAAGGGGTAACCCAAAGAGTCAAGGATATCAAGGGAGAGAAGCATCGATTGATGGCTGATCTGGAAGCAAAAGTAAATAAAGAAAACTTTATAGTGAAATAATAAATAATAATTACACATTTTCATTTTTAAAATTAAAAAAAATCTTGATATAAAAGGGTTAAGCATCTCAAATTGTGCAGAGGTGAATTTGCGAATGAGTATGATTTGCAAGCAATTTATTTGATTAAATGATATAGAATGATGCAATAAATTATAGTAGCTCATTCTGTATCTTTCACCCAAATATTATTTTAAAATGAATAAATATAAAGCAAGATGAACGTTTGAGTAATAGAAGCTACAACAGATAACTGTTTTTAATTCAGGTAAATTTATTTTTGTTTTTTTAGGCTGTTGAGGTACAAGGTTTAACAAAAGAGGTGGAGAAACAAAGTGAGTTGATTTCCTCCTCTGAAGTCAGGATAAAGTGGGCCCAGAACAAGCTACGAGCTGAGCTCGATGCTCACAAGGTAATGATCCCCAGAACAAGCTACGGGCTGAGCTCGACGCTCTCAAGGTAATGATACTTTATCAAGTATCATCATGTATTGTTAAAAAATATTTTAACTTTTGCTAAAATTTCCATATGTTAAACACACAGGAGGCAGTGGACAGCATAAGAATATTGCTTGTTGATATTTGGAGGGCTTTGTCCTGAACAATTATATTAAATAATTCAGAATGACTTACTGAATTAGTTGTTTGAAAGATTAATTAGAATATAAGGAAGCAGGAGGGTGGAATGATGGAATTGATATAGGCTTGGTATATTGTACAATGAATTTGTGTGCTTTATACAAATTGCAGACATGGGTCACCCTGAATAGATTATTGTTGCACAATGCCTGCATTTATTTCCTTTATTCTTTGGTTTTCTTCCTACCATGGGTATAAAAACAGTTAATCATGAATACAATTAAATAATTATGTCCTAGTATTGTAGTCTATCAAGCAGTTGACTAATATATACCGGTATATATATCTATCTGAAATTTAAACCCAGGTTTGATGTGTTGGGGAGTCATGTTTCAGTTGTGGAGGACTTGTCTTCCAGCAGCATTGTTATGATTTTACCTACAACACATGTACAATGCATGTTTATATCCAATCTAATTAAAATTAGATCTTTGATCCGCTCCAGTTTGATCGCTACACTTATATCCAGTATATGATCACTGTGGATCACAGCTGTTCATGTCTAAGGGAAGCTGCCTGATGCATGTCCTGCCTATAGAATGCATCAAGTAGTGACAGCTGTGTTTGTTTGGGAAAAATATATAAGTAGTTCAATCAACATGATCATAAAATGAAGTTATTTCCTTGTGCATTGTTGAAATATTAAGATCATACAGCTGATTTGCATGAAACTGATTGAATGTATTTTGTATGATCTATATTTTAATTTAGATTTAAGAAAAAAAAGGTTTATATAATTATTTGATAAATTTCATGGATTTTTTCTAATTGATAAAGAGGTCCTGGTTAAAATTGCTGTCTCTTTATTTGCTCTGTAAATAAACCTAGGAGGCATATATTGAAGTTGGTTAAAAAAATGTGTCACTGTATGGTACCACCATTGTTTTAAAGCCAGTGCTAAATTCTGTATATAATTTGATAAATATAGGATCTCCCATGGTTTGTAGTTAGATATAATGTTTATCCAAGAGTTGTGTGATTTGTATCCCCGAGCCTTGGCGAGGGGATAGAAAACACACAACTCGTTGGATAAAAATCATATCAAACCACAAACTGTGGGAGATTCTTTTTATCACATATTTTTGTTCACTATAAATGTGTATTTTGTCCTTATTTCTAATTCAAAGTTCCTTTTCGGTTACCTCGGACCAAATAACGTAATAAATAATATTACGCTGTATGAAATAGTTTGTACAAAAATAAAAGAAAGAAAATATTTCAGTGCTTAGGCCAAAAAAAATAATAGTCTTGTTTCCTGCTACCAGTCTGAAAAAAATAGGGTAGGTAGGCAGGAAAATTATTTTATTTTTTTATTTTATTTTATTTTTTCCAACGGTAATTTTTGGATATGAACTTCTACAAAACCAAATTAAAAATGTCATAGCTAGGTCAATGTTATCTTTTAAAATGAAATTCCATGTCTTTTGATGCACAACTCAAGTGGGATTTTATGAAAGTCCATATTTTAAACATATATTTTATGAAATACAATTTGAATATAAAATTTTTTTTTCACTTTTGGAACAAAAAATTCCTGCAATTTCCAATTTTTTCCCCAAAAGCTAAAAAAAAACATTAAGGTCAGGTGCAAAAAAATAGGGTAGGTCGGGTAGCAGGAAACAAGACTATTTTTATTTTTGGCCTTATTTTTTTAAATTCATGAATGAAAACTTGTTAAAATATATCAAATAAAGTGAAATTTGACAAATTAAGTCATCCTCTCCATCATACACATGTATTTGTTTATGTACATTACGTCATACGGCGTAGGAATACATAGTGTTGATATGAAAACGATATCACATGAGCTATATCAACGGGATAAAGGGGAAAATATATGATAAAGTAAAATACTGTAAATTCTTAATTATATGCGAAGTATTAATTTCCACGTAATTTCATGAGAAGCATCATTCGCGAAAAAATGTTACTCGCTTTATTTTTATGGTGTTGAAATCCATGTATAATTTGTTGATCAACCGTACATTCGCGAATTATAATTCTCACGATTTGACGTTAAAAAGCCAGTTCGTGATTAAAAGTACTCGTGAAAAATAAGGAATCTACAGTAGTGTTTAATTATCATGTTGAAAAATGGTTATATATACATTTAATTATTATGATGCTAAATTTTACTTGAAGGAAACCAAGGAAGAGCTGTCAAAGACCAGATCCAAGCTGAAGGATGCTAAAGATGAAACCGAGCAGATCAGAAGAGATTGTCAGGCCATCATTAAAACCTACCAGGTCTGTGTAACCAATCAAAATTATTATATCAAAACCTATCTGGTCTGTGTAGCCAATCAAAATTAGATAAAAAAAATCCCTCCAGGTCTGTGTAACCAATCAAAATTATTGTAACAAAACCTACCTGGTCTGTGTAACCAATCAAAATTAGAGAAAAAAAAAACCTTCAGGTCTGCGTAACTAATCAAAATTGTTGTAACAAATCTACAAGATCTAAAAATTACCAGGTCTGTGTAACCAAGCAAAATTATAGTAACAAAACCTACAAGAAATGTGTAACCAATCAAAATAATATGTATGTTATTATATATGTCGATATGAAGTAAAGGGTACTGTCGACTTCTAGTCAGTAGCCATGACAGATTACACTGTGTTTATGAGGAAATAAATTAGTACATATACATGTATCTAAATAAAAAATTCTATACTTTTTTTTATGAATCATTTATGAATTAAACTTATAATTTTTACATTAGAACTTACCAGTATGATTATTTAATGTGTCTTTAATCATTGTGTAACCTTGAATTTCATCACTTTTAATCTCAGGAGTCAGAAGAAATCAAATCTAACAAGTTAGACAGTGAGCTGAAGATGAAGGAGTCAGAGTTCCTTCAACAGCAGCAGGAAAAGACAAGCCAGGAGGAGGTAACTCAGTGTAGCAGGGGACTAAACTCATGATGCATGAAAAATAGGGTTGAAAAAAAAGCCTACTTGCTGCATTGAATTTTGACATTTTTGGCCCGAGGAACTATAAATTATTTTTTTTTTCCTCATTGATTTAGATTAAACATGAATTTAAAATGTAGACAGAAAAAGAAAAGATATAACTGAATAAAATAAAGATGCCATAGGTAGATCAGCAGAGATTTGCTTGGTCTCAGAATTTTTGTTTTAACTCTGTTGCAATTTGGTTAATTCCAGCAATATGCTGCTACTGTGAAAGAATTAGCAAGTTTGAAGGAAAAACACCAGATAACTCTAAAGGAAATGGAATCTTTGAAGAAGAAATGTCAGACCTTGGAATCCCAGAGAGATCTGAATGAGCAGACAATGACTAAATACAAAGACATGCTTCAGAAACAGAAAAAGGA